AATGAAAGGATAGACCATTCCAAGCTTTTACTTGTTGTTAAACACATGTTTAAACAACTCTATTCATACAAGGTTTGATAATGTGATAAATGTACCATTTCTAAGTTCTGTAAATACTACTCTTATAATGCATGATATACCAATACATGTGTGATCTTCCATAACCATGTGTAGTGCACTCACATAACTTTGTAAACTTACCTTACAGTGTGTAGTGTACTATTAAACAGAAATGTATAAACTTACCTTACAGTGTGTAGTGTACTATTAAACAGAAATGTGTAAACTTACCTTACAGTGTAGTGTACTATTAAACAGAAATGTGTAAACTTACCTTACAGTGTAGTGTACTATTAAACAGAAATGTGTAAACTTACCTTACAGTGTGTAGTGTACAATTAAACAGAAATGTGTAAACTTACCTTACAGTGTAGTGTACTATTAAACAGAAATGTGTAAACTTACCTAACAGTGTGTAGTGTACTATTAAACAGAAATGTGTAAACTTACTTTACAGTGTGTAATGTACTAATAAACAGAAATGTGTACACTTACCTTACAGTGTGTAGTGTACTATTAAACAGAAATGTGTACACTTACCTTATAGTGTGTAGTGTACAAATACAAAACTTAAAATACTGCACAACAAATAGAAACAGATATGTTAAAAACAGATATTAAATACAGATATACCCCTGTGGAGAAGATAACACAACTTGAACACAAAACTAAAGGCTTTTAGAATAAAAACAGCTAATTATATGTGCAACCTCTCTTCAACAAGGATTATACCCAAGATGTTTACTCAAAATACAAGTAACATATCGTTTATTGTATACTGCGAAACAAAAGTTAGTGTAATTTTTAAGCTAGATAGAAAATAATAACCTAGGTTAGAGTATTTAATTTCCTTATCCTTGCAAAGATTCTACTGAAACTACACTAGAATTGGACAGAGAATGTTTAAGAATCAACTAGACTTGTAAAGTTAATAAAATTAGCCCCAACACCACTTGAACTTCTTTTATAATTAACCATACCGGCTTTAAATCTAGAGTTAGAAACACAACTTACCTTGGAATTTTCAGGTAACCTTTCCATGGTGACTAGATAGCGAGAGGAATGTGAGTTCAGTGACTGTTCACTTAAACTAATTAATTGAAGGCTAGGGTGAGCAGGAACCAAATCTGCCTGAAAGCTGACCAAAAACAAAAGATTCCACATTAAATCAAACTATAATGTAGACTGTATTTAAACAAATGATTCTATACAGTCAATCAATACTTAAGGATTTCAAAAATATGAAGTACAATTACAACACAAATTCCTTTTGTTAATGAATAAAACTCTTGGTAATGTATTATAATATTATAATTACATCACAAAACATCATTCTTCAGCTCTGACATGATTCATTACTGATCTATAACATCACATTATTCTACAGCTCTGAGATGATCCATTCCTGATCTATAACATCACATCATTCTTCAGTTCTGACATGATTCATTCCTGACCTATAACATCACATCATTCTTCAGTTCTGACATGATTCATTCCTGATCTATAACATCACATCATTCTTCAGCTCTGACATGATTCATTCCTGATATATAACATCACATCATTCTTCAGTTCTGACATGATACATTCCTGATCTATAACATCACATGACATCATTCTTCAGCTCTGACATGATACATTCCTGATCTATAACGTCACATGACATCATTCTACAGCTCTGACATGATCCATTCCTGATCTATAATGTCACATGACATCATTCTACAGCTCTGACATGATCCATTCCTGATATATAACGTCACATGACATCATTCTACAGCTCTGACATGATCCATTCCTGATATATAACGTCACATGACATCATTCTACAGCTCTGACATGATCCATTCCTGATATATAACGTCACATGACATCATTCTACAGCTCTGACATGATCCATTCCTGACCTATAACATCACATGACATCATTCTTCAGCTCTGACATGATTCATTCCTGATATATAACATCACATTATTCTTCAGTTCTGACATGATACATTCCTGATCTATAACATCACATGACATCATTCTTCAGCTCTGACATGATACATTTCTGATCTATAACATCACACGACATCATTCTTCAGTTCTGACATGATACATTCCTGATCTATAACATCACATGACATCATTCTTCAGCTCTGACATGATACATTCCTGATATATAAAATTATGTCATTCTTCAGCTCTGACATGATTCATTCCTGATCTATAACATCACATCATTCTTCAGCTCTGACATGATTC